TGGTGGCTTGCACCTGTAATCCCAGCACTTTGGGAGGCTGAGGCAGGCAGATCACTTAAGGTCAGGAGTTCGAGACCAGCCTGGCCAACATGGTGAAATCCTGTCTCTACTAAAAAAAAAATATATATATATATACACAAAAAAAAAAATTAGCTGGGTGTGGTGGCATGTGCCTGTAATCCTACCTACTGGGGAGGCTGAGGCATGAGAATCACTTGAAACTGGAAGGCGAAGGTTGCAGTGAGTCACTGTACTCCAACCTGGGCAACAGAACAAGACTCCATCTCAAAAAAAAAAAAAATCTGTGACACTGAGATATGCCTTTTCATCAATGGTTTATTATGACCACTATGCAGCAATACCAAATGTAGATTTCATTACTCGTACATGCACTAACTTGGTCATAGCTGCTTATATTGCCAAAGTCATACAGTTATCGGTACATGGATAGAAAGTTATTGTGTAGGCAGAAAGGGGTATAAATTTCATATTAGCGACATGAGTACTCATTTTGGAGTAATGATCATCATTTTACATTTTCTTGTAAAGTAACAACATAGTGTTCTACAGGACCTAAGAAGGGAAGATACAAGTAGATCTTATATGTTAACCTACCATGCACTAAGCACAGAAACTTTTTAAAAAAAGCTAAATCTTTCAGAATACATGAAAGGAATTTCAAAGCAACAAGAAACTGACATAATTTAATTTGCTACATCCTTTTGCTCTTGTCCATTGTAAAATAGTTTTGATCTTATCATTTATGTTAGGTTTTGTGATAGGTAGTAATTTACAAACCAGCCGGCATGGCTCTGATCCCCTCTTGCTGATGGTGGGACTGTGCCTAAAGCTCCCTTCCCTGCTCTGCTGATGCAGAACAACATCAGGAAGTCCAAGTAGTCAAAACCAAAGTCAAACATTGAACATTTGCAACCCCAATTTCAATCATAAAATTAACCAACTCTAATGGGAAATCAGTCTTTTGTTCATCTTAGCACAAATGCTCTAGACCACAATTTTTATTTCATTAAAAATAAAACTGGTCTCCTTTGGCTCTGTAAACTTTCAAAATAATGATTCTTTATAATTCCTTGGTAATTGTAGAAAGTATTCATTTTACATTATTTCCCTGACAATTGAGAAAATTTGAGGTTACATTGAAATATTTCTTATGTAAGAGCAAATGAAGAGGATGGATCTCATATAATCATGGCCAAAAAAAGTATGTTCTTCTTGGTCATATATTTTTATAAATCATTGAGGAGCAGGGAATATTGTATATGCATAAATGTATAACCTATTACAGCAGCCTGAGACCCCATAGGTTATCATTATGTCAGCAGAACTGAGATACTCAGATGTGTTTAGTGGTAGAAGCAAGCATTCCATTAATTTGGTTAACGGACATGAATCAGCTAGTGGGTTGTGAGTTATGCACCTTCCTGACCTTCACAAAAGCACACCCTGACTTGAATTTATACAGTCAGGGGTGCAGTAGGATGTACTGGCCCAGGTCAGAAGAGTGCCAAATTTCCTCAAGCACTCATTTGTCCTCAGGAAACTCAGAAGCTAGGTCATTAACATCCTGGCCCCAGCTCCTTCCTTGGACAATTGTGACACTCTTGTGAACCCCTTGTCACTAATCTGACTCTGGATATCTGATTTCTAGTTTTACTACCAGGATTAAACTTTTTCTGTTAACATAAGGGCTCTCTACCCAGGGCCTTTCCAAGTCCCTGGCTTACAAGACGTATAGGAACAAAGAGACTATTTCTTTTAATTACATAAAGAAATCTGATCAGATGTGAGATCCTTTAAAAGAAACTTTTGACTTCCTTTGTAAAAATATATTAGCATTTGTTACTCAAGTGTTTCCAAGAGTGGAATTTATTTTACACCCTAATTCATTATTAATGCATCATTTTTCGTATTCTCCACACATAAGATTAAGTGAGAAAAAAGTATAGAGTATAAAAGTTCTGTCTTTATTTCTCCAGTCTATAGATACCTGCCAAATCTCACTGTTGCTAAGGGAATATATTATTAACTGAGGTATCAGAATTAGAAAGGTCATATTGTTCTGAAAAAATATGCTGTGACTCTGAGATGTCCAGGTGGTATCAAGAATGTATTTCCCCAGATAATTTAATCTCATTTGAAAACTTAGATGTACTTGGTTCAGGGGAATATGCTGAAATAAAACCCTATCTGCCTCTTCACTCTTTCCTTTCTTCTCAGGAAGGAGAAACAGTGATCATAGCTCATTGAAAACGCTCCTGCTGCAGTTTAAAAAGCTATACTATATGCCTTTTATTCCATCTTCAAGTTGAGAACATCTCATTGCCATTTTCTATTCAGTGATCCTTCACTTGACTATTGTTTGTAACACCAGTCCCAAGCTTTACTTTTCGACATGTTACAAATCTATTTTTTTTCAAGCTTTAATCATTTGTTTACATTTCAACATTTCAGTATTTCCGTCCTGACCACCTACCGGGGAATATGTCTTTCCCACCTATCTTAGACTGTTCTCAAATAAAAATGTGACTGATACAAAGGGAGAATGAAAGAAGATAGCTTCCTCTCAGCTTCCTCTAGATAACAATAAATGCACTAGAACTTAACTTTTTGAACTTTTAATGAGCATTGTGGAAACATGTTTTAAAGCACAGGCTTGAGAGCCATACTGCCAGAACGTGATTCCCACATTTGACACTTTACTGGCTGAGTGATCTTGGGCAATTAACCTCTCTATGCCTCATTTTCCTCAACTGTAAAATGGGCAGTTGAGGATATGGGCAGTTGAAAATAATAATATTCTCCTTAAGTTATTCTAAGGATTACATTAATGCAACAGATATTAAGTATTTCGAAAAATACCTGTGCTTTTTCTCTGCCCGGCATTGCTGGGCCTGCAGGTCTGTGTCAAACCATGGATGAGGGTCTTTTTTCTGCAGAATGGAGTTTGTTAAAGTTGTTAAGAATAAGGCCTATTTAAGAGATACCAAGTGAAATTTAGGAGACGACAAGAGAGTAGAACTGACTACTATGCTCAAAAACGCTCAGTGATACAGGATAAAAATAAATACAACACACTCAAATACAGGGTGATAGTCTGTGTAACAGAGATATCATTTGTCAGATTGCTTATGCCCATATAGAAGGGGTAGTCTGTGCAGCATATGTACATGGTACATGAACTACCAAAATAAAGTGTGAAGGTTGGCCTGACAAATTATGCTGCAGCACATTCTACTGGCCTGCCACTGGCCCACAGGCTTCTCGGTAGGTTTGGCATGGACAAGATCTATGAAGGCCAAGTGGAGATGACTGGAGATTAATGCGATATGGAAAGCATTGATGGTCAGCCTGGTGCCTTCACCTGCTATTTGGATGTAGGCCTTGCCAGAACCATCACTGATAATAAAGTTTTTGGGGCCTTGAAGGGAGTTGTTGATGAAGGCTGTTCTGTCCCTCATAGTACCAGACAATGTTTGTGATTCTGAAAGCAAGGAATTGAATGCAGAAGTGCATAGGAAACACATCATGGGTCAGAAGAATGCAGATTACATGCATTACCTAATGGAAGCAGATGAAGATGCTTACAAGAAATGGTTCTTTCCATTCATGAAGAACAGCATAACTTCAGACCTGATGGAGGAGATAAACAAGAGAACTCATATTGGCTGGGCACGGTGGCTCACAGTCCCAGCACTTTGGAGACTGAGGTGGGTGAACTGCTCGAGCCCAGGAGTACGAGATCAGCCTGGACAACATGGCAAAACCCTATTTCTGCAAAAAAATTTATAAAAATTACCCAGGCGTGGTGGTGTGCACCTGTTGTTCCAGCTACTCAGGGAGCTGAGGTGGGAGGATCACTTGAGCCCAGGAGGTTGAGCCTGCAGTGAGCCAAGATCATGCCACTTTACTCCAGCCTGGGTGACAGAGCGAGACCCTGTCTCAAATAAATAAATAAATAAATAAATAAATAAATAAACAAACAAAAGCTCATGTTGCTATCCAACAGAACCCAAACTATGAGATGCCCAAGAAAGAAGTTAAAGCAACAGGTGGAAACATCCCAAAATGTCCCATGCGCAGAAGAAAGATCAGGTAGCTCAAAAGAAGGGAAGCTTCCTCAGAGCTCAGGAGCAGCCTCTGAGAGCTAAAACAAACAATGCTTTAGGATGATTTTTCAGATAAAACAATAAACTTACTGGCTAACCAGGTTTAAAAAAACAATACCTGCAAAAGCAAACTATTACATTTATTATCTAAGTTTCAAAATCAAAAGTTGGTTATTTGTGTCATGATTCATAATTGAGGCTTATTCTAAATTCCAAATATCCTGTTTGTAGCAACTTAAAATGCCAGCTCATTGTATTATAATTTTGACATTAATCAACCTGACATTTTTCTCTTATAAAGGTAAGGCATGAACATATCAGCTCTCATGATTCTTTTTTTAAAAAATTATCACTTCTCCCAGATTTCCTAAGCCCCATTGCTTTAGCTCTTTGAGTTGTTACTGTGATAAGGGAAAATACTATTTTTGTGTGATAGGCTGTAAATAGGTTGGGCAGCCATCTCAGTTTGCCTGAAACTGAGGGACAGTTTCTCAGGACATGGGACTGTTACTGCTTAAACTGGGAAAGTCTTGGGGAAACCAGGATGGTTGGCTATCCTACTGTAAAGGTATTACGTAAGGCGGGGGTAAAAGAGGAAAGGAAGAATCAGTGGTAGTATTAATCTCATTAAGTACAAAATAATTATTAGTACACCTCTACTGTTCCCTTGATTTTTGACTCATGCAATCTCTGATGAGTATCTGAAGGGTAAAATTGCACTGAACTAATTAACTCTAAATGTCAGGCATTTGGATTTCATGGGGTTTTTTTCCCTTTTGTTATCATCATCATCTGTGGAATGTATTTCTTCTCCTTCATTTTATGCTGTTCTGCTTTCCTATGATTATGTCATGCTTGTTCTTTTTCTTTTAGGTCAACCCAAATCAAAACATACTCTTGGGATAATGCCCAGGTTATTCTGGTTGGGAACAAGTGTGACATGGAAGACGAGCGGGTCATCTCAACTGAGCGAGGTCAACATTTAGGAGAACAGCTTGGTAAGAAATAAATTAATAAGTTAAAAAGAAAGAGAATTTGCTTATTATATGTAACACTGTACAGAGTCCCAGTTAATTGTCAGGGTGGAGTTAATGAAATGTTTCTCAATCTAACAGTGGAAAGCAACATAATCCTCCCTAAGTGGACAATATATTTTCTCCCACTTACTATGGCATCATGAGAGCTCAAGTGCAATTAAAGAAGCAAAAATGATACTCATAATTTTGGTCTTAGTACACTGTATTTAAATTCTTATTCTATGAGAAACACAGGTTTTGCCTTGTCCACTATTTTTGCCTTTTTTTCTCCATACTCTATTTTGCATTCAGTGGGCTCTTTATTTTATTGCGTGATTATTGTTCTCAAGTTTTCATTGGAGGAGGATAATGGCACAGAATAGGTCACATCCTAGATTCTGATTCTAGTGACATCATTGATAAGCCATGTTACTGTTACAACTCCCTTTGAGACTTAGTCACCCCATCTCTCAAGAATTGTATCATAGCCCATGCCTATTTAACCAAGTCCTTGTAGATAAGATCAAATGAGATAATAGATATGAAAGAGCTTCAGAAATGGCAAAGCCGTTTCAAACACAAAACACTGTATCTAAAGAGAAAAATGCTGGAGCGAGTAGGGTAGAGATTTAATACAAAGGAGGGATTGATGATTGATGATTGATTGACTGAGTCAAGAAATTTTTACTGGGTACTCGTTGTATGCTTTATATTATGCCAAACATCATGGGGGATACAAAAAAGTGATTCACAGTCCCTAGGCACAAGTTGCTCCCAATCAAGTGGAGACCGAAGACTGGAGATACACACAAGGAAGCAGAAATACAAGTCAACAAAAACAGGTCAATGAGGAGGTAAGCTGCAAGACAGATGCCAACAGGAAAGCAACAGGGATAGGGAGGCAGACACAGGAAGGGGAAAAACATTGCCAGAAGGAGATGTAGGAGTGTAGTGTGATCAGAGGAAGATAAAGAGCAAGGCAGAGAGGGCTCCTGGGGACATCAGGTGTGGAAATGAATACACCAAGAGGAAGAGATGAGTGATGAGAGGAGATGGAGATCTTTTGGGTGAAATGGCAAGATACAGCTTGAATGGTCTCTAAAGGAGAGTAGAATTTGCAACTACAAAGGAGATGAGGCATTATGAGTAAGGGGCACAGTGATTCATGGACATTGAGATGAGCATAAGGTGAAACGACAGTGAATAGAAAAGTGAGAACCTAGCATAAAGTTGCAGAACTGAGTTGTGGATTTGGGGAACAACTCCAATCCTAGAGGTGAAGGAGTTGGAATTCTTTTTGTTTTTTTGTTTTTTTGTTTGTTTGTTTATGGTAGACCACTGAAAATACTGAGGCATGCTTAGCAAAGAAGAGTTTGACTTTTAACCTTTTTGGTCAGGACCTGCAGTAAGAAATACTTTCAATTTAGCATCCCAGTACTTACATATGTAGAGAGAGAGAATGAAACAAAAGTTTCACAAAACACATTTTAACTTTACTTGATGAGATTCACTCTGTTTTCTGTCTTAATTTTCTTTCTTCTTTTTTCTTAAATGGTGGTCCCAACCCACTAAGTTGATCCCCGGAAGCAGTAATGTGTCTCAATCTATAATTTGAAAAACACTGTTATAGGCCGGGCACAGTGGCTCACGCCTGTAATCCCAGCACTTTGGGAGGCCAAGGCAGGCGGATCACCAAGTCAGTAGATTGAGACCATCCTGGTTAACACGGTGAAACCCCGTCTCTACTAAAAATACAAAAAATTAGCCAGGCGTGGTGGCCGGCGCCTGTAGTCCCGGCTACTGGGGAGGCTGAGGCAGAAGGAAGGTGTGAACCTGGGAGGCGGAGCTTGCAGTGAGCCAGGATCGCGCCACTGCACTCCAGCCTGGGAGACAGAGCGAGACTCCGCCTCAAAAAAAAAAAAAAAAAAAAAAAGAAAAAAAAAAAAGAAAAAAGAAAGAAAAACACTGTTATAAAGGGGATGCTTTGGGATTAATCTGCTGGTGTTGTGCAACATGAGTCAGAAAAGCAAAGGCCCTCTCATTGGGTTACTCTTCCTCTTGATCATCTCATAACTGAACTAAGTACAGTTCACTCTGAAAGCTTAACCATTTCTCATGAGCTTAATGAGTTCCTTAGACTAAAATCTATCCCTGGATGGCCACAAGAACCCTTCCACCAAATATTCTTAGAGCCACCCAGAAGAAAGTTACATGGCTGGTGTACGGTCTCCTGTGGCTGCATTTGAAGTTATCATCTCTGTCACAGGGCCTCTTCCCACTCTACCGATTAAACAATATGAGGAGTCTGAAAAAATGATATTTTTTTTTCTTAATCCTCTTAGGACCTCCTTATCTTGGGAAAGATAAGAATGGAGAATAGTAGATCCCCAAAGAAAGAGAGGGAGGAAACCTGGGAGAGGGTTGGCAGATTGGCTTCCCAAGACGGTCTCTCCCCGGTCTTCCTGTGTTTTCTTAACTAGCTGGGCACGTGCCAGGTTGGGGAAAAAACTGCTACACAGATGTAGGCTGTCTCTATGAATAAAAATGAAAACTGTTTGGTTCAAAAAATATATGTATATCTAAGCCAAGAATTGTTTAATGTCATTGATACATAGGAGGCAGGCAACTGGCTAAATTTTTTACCTCTCTAATAAATTACTTGGATATTGAGAAGACCAGACTGTGAAAGGGGATGTTAGGATGATGGAAATGCGTCAAGAGGGTGACTTTCCTACTGCTCCATCGACTGACGTGCACACAAACCCTTTCCATTCAGTGCACAGATGTAGCAAAGTTCCTGAAATTGTGAGGCAGAATGTTTTATGTTCCTGTTCAGTTTCTTCCAATGGTTTCTAATTGATTTTTTGCTCTCCGTTCAATAAAACCCAGCTGTTGTCATAGCAACCAACACATGTGCATTCTTGGAGAGTCATTTACCTCGTTTAATGTGGCTTGTTCTCCTCATGGCTACACATGCTTCTACAAATGATCATGAGAGACCATTTGCATTTTTTTTAAATGCTCTCACAATTTAAATTTAAAGATTTTAAAGGTCTTTGCTTTGTTTTTTAATTACTTGTACATTTTATTCTTCAGAATACCATCACATACACACAAAGGTTGCACATTGTTTTTTAAATGTCATTACCACATCTTGGCAGATGGCTCAAAATAACTGCTTTATCGATCTGATTGCAATTAATTCTCCATTGTGGATAGTTTTATCTGGACAACATTTGCTCATCCTAATGAGGGTCCTGGATGGAACCAAGTTTTAATGGAGCTCTTTAAAAATTCTTAGATGGCAGCTGTCAGTCCCAATCCAGTTTAGTTCACCAAGCATTTATTAAGTGTTTACAATATGCCAGTTACTGGGAATGCAATGACAAATAACCCTGCCTTCTAGGAGCAAACATTGTAGTGCCAGAGACAGACTACACAGACAAAGAGCATTTTTCTGGCTTTCCCTTTCTCGGCCATTTTCTTTCATTTGATCCTTTGAGCACCTCTCCTTGCTGAATGCTGCCTCGTCAGCATTTATGACATGGTGCTCTCTGTTCGTCTCCTCCCTCTCCAGATTTGCATTTAGTTTCCTTGGTAGACTCCTCCTCCTTTTTCTGTCTCCTGCACTCTGGCTTTCTATCCTCAGTCCACCTCTCCTCTCTCTCTACACCCTCCCTTGGATATTTCCATCCCCTCCAAGGTTTTAACTCCACCTCCAGACTAATGACTGCCAAATCATGTTCCAGGCTTGACCTCACGCTGGCACTTCAGGCGCCAACATCCACCTGCCAGCTGTGCATATTCAGTACTTCTGATTTAGAGTAGTGGTCTAATCATCTGCAGCTGAATCGGCTGGGGTTCTTTTTCAAATGCACATTCACAGCGCAACTCAGACCTGCTGCATCAGAGTTTTTGAAGTTGAAGGCTAGAATCTACATTTTTAACAAATATTTTTGTGACTTTTATACAACTAAATTTCTAGAACACTGGCTTTTGTGGGAAGTGAGTGTTTGGAGAGGGTAGGGAATTGCTGCCAGAGCTGAACATTACCCTATAGCCGTTGTTATTTTCCCATGCATTTTTTTTCTTGTTTTGATGAAGTCTCATTCTGTCACCCAGGCTGGAGTGTAATGGTGCGATCGTGGCTCACTGCAACCTCTGCCTCCTGGGTTCAAGCAATTCTCCTGCCTCAGCTTCCCAAGTAACTAGGAACTACTGGCAGGTGCCACCATGCCTGGCTAATTTTTTGTATTTTTAGTAGACATGGGCTTTCACTGTGTTAGCCAGAATGGTCTCAATCTCCTAACCCTGTGATCCGCCCACCTCTGCCTCCCAAAGTGCTGAGATTACAGGTGTGAGACATCACACCTGGCCTTCATGCATGTTTTAACAGTTAGTCTATATGTATGTACCTATAACAATATATAAGAATGTTTTTAAATTTTATATTAAATGTATAGTATGGTACTTATATATGTACAATCTCATAATTTAAGTTTTAAATGTACAACTACTGTGTTAAATAAGAAAAAAATTTGGAGACACAATTAAAGATAGATTTTCCTAAAATAGAAGTAATTTATCTGGGAATAAGAACAAAGAAAGAGATTTATAGAGGAGAATGGATTTGTATTGCCTTGAAACCACAGGTGAAAGAATATTTGAACCATTATTACAAGCTCTGAAAGGGCAGAAAATGCAGAAACTTCTGTTTTCCAAAAATGTAGTCAGAGAACCAAAGACTGCAGAGAAACTAAAATTGCTTCTGGGAGAGGTCATTATTAATAATTTATAAGGAGCCAACCTTAAAGTGTTTTTAATTTGCATTAATATTTCTTCCTAAAACAAGTAACAGATAATATTCCCAATTCTTTCCATTCAAACAATTATCATAATGGCCTCTGAACATATGTATTACTGAATTCCAGATTCATCCCCTGTACCCTTCCCCCTTGTCCAGCACAGAACCCCATGAGAAT